GAAGAAGAAATTTAAAAAAAAAAAAAAAAAGGAAGAAATCAAAGTTAGAAAAAGGTGTTACCAAGAAAAAGAAAAATGTTCATTCTTATTCTAATCAGCTGTGCTCTCTTCAGTGGAGGTAATTATTTTTTACATTGACATCACACCTAAGAATACCAGGTCTATTGAAGATGTAGGCATATTTTTTTCTTTTTTAACTTGTTGTGAGTAACGTAGTAATCGAGTCACGTGGTCACCATTGAGGCGCATACGGGTTTACGAATGAATTTAATTCGTGATTTCGATTATCGTCAATTTCTTGTTATTTCACATGATGTGTAACTCGATTGATCTATTATTTGGAATGATTTTGTTTTTTATTATTTTATAATAATTTTATTTTTTTATTATAATTATTTCTTTTTTTGTATCGTTTTGTTTCTCATTTGATTCATATATATATATATATATAAAGATATTCATCATCAAACTTTTATGTGTACTGATTTTTGTCCCTGAATATCTTTTGAACACTTAATTTAATTGCCAAAACATGAGACACCATTTTTATAGAGTAGTTAATTTCCTACAAAAATTTGTATTGCGCATCTTATAATAGTGATTTATTGTCGAGTTATAAAATTCATTAACAAAAATGAAATTTGTCTAAAAATCATCAAATTTAAATCTTTAATATCATTCAAATGGTGAGGTTTACGGAAAAAAATATAAGATTCCTTCTTTGTAGAGGTTTCCTACAAAATTCGTCTAGAACATTTTTCTGTACAATCAATAAATATTGAGGTATGAATTTTAATCTACTGAACTGAAAAAAAAAATAAAAAACTGCGATGCGGAGGATCTTCCTATTAAAATTAAGAGCTCATATTGGGTGAGAATTCTTTTAAGGTGTCTAGGAACCCATTTTTGCGTGGCACTTGAAAAAAAAAAATAAGTCATATTTTCGACCCACCCTATTGTACATATCATTATACATATATAATTTTTGTTTCACTTATATTCAGTCAGAAAAATATTTTCTTCATATTTTAATGCAAAAATGAAATAAACTTTTATTTCATAAACAATTAATAACCATTTTTTGATCAACGTTCAGTTCCTTATCGAATTTTTAATATGCCAAGTTGTTTTAAATGATTTCCATAATTGAGATAAAATACTAAGTTAATTTTAGATATGAAAAATTTTCAGATTAAAAATTCTCGAATCATTTTCATGTCATGCGTACTAAAACTGTATTATATTTATTTTTTTTTAAATGTTTAATTAAATCATGATAGTCAATTTTGAAATATACCTAATTATTATCAGATATTAATATTACCAAAATTATGTTAATCTAAAAAAAAAAAAAATATTGGGAAAAATACTAAGAAACTTATTGGTACAAGATGGTGGTAGTGGAAGGGTTGCCAGGATATTGGTTAGGAAAGTAGAGTGAAGAGAGGAAAAGAAGAGTGGCGAGATTTAGATTGGGGAATGAGATGAGGGAAGGGAGATACTGGGAGGAGGAGGAGGAGAAAAGAAGATGCAGGGTATGTGGATGGGAGAGAGAGACATGGGAGCATGTGTTGGAGGGCTGCAGTAGAGCTATAGGAGAGGAAGACGGGACAGGAGTGGAAGAGAGGATGAAAGAGATTTTGGATGAGAGTGGAATGGGGGAGGAGTTGATGAAGAGGATTGGGAGTATGAGAATGAGGAAGAAGAGACAAGGTTGGGATTGAGGGAGGAAGAAGTGGAGGTTTGGTACGGGTGTAGGGGGTAGAGAGGAAAGGAGAAGTGAGGGAGAGGATAGTGTTAAGCAAGGTTAAGAATATAATTGTAAAAGGAGTGTAACCCTTCGGGGAAGCAGTAAAATGTATCTATCTATCTATCTACTAAGAAACTTATTCATCAATCAAATATGTAGATTACGTAGAAACATTAATGAGAGATCGATTGAAATCAATTGAAATCAATTGAAATAAATAACACGAGATAATTGAAAGTAGTCAAAACAATTAATCGTCATTAATGATTCAATAAAGAATTATTTCGAAGCTTTTGATTTTGTTCGTCAAATCATAGAAACCGTACGAGCTTGGGTTTTGAGCTTGTGATTATGAGAGAACATTTATCAAGAGAGGAAAGAAAGGACTTCCTTCCTAGCCACACGGTCGCGTTAAGTACAAATAAAATATATATATATAAAACTGTATAATACTATAATACTGTATAGTACTATTTTTATTTTTTTTTAAATATATATCTACCTACTACTATATATTTATAATAGTATTATTCAGATTTTAAATATTTAAAATAAGAAATGTTCATTTAAAAAAATTAAATTATATTATAACAGTTTTATAATATTTTAATTTTTTTTTACAGTGTCATGTCAAGACAGACCTACCATTATAAGTCCAGAAGGAAAGGAATTGATTAAAAATGCTGGTGAACCTATACAATTTTCTTGCACAGGTTCTAAAAAAATTTTTTTTTACTATCCAACGAATTACGGATCCGACGAGGAAGTATCGAAAAAGGTTTTATCATCTTAATCTTTTATCATTTCATTGTTTTTTTCTTTTTACATACTTATTTTTGTTCTTCTGAATTTAAATAGCAATATTTAAAGTAAGAAATAATTTTCTTTTTTTTTTATAATTAATAGGTTATATCATCGAAAATAGAAGTAAGCGAAAATAATACAAATTTTGGAAGTACATACAATTTTTCTCGACGTAAATCCGTACCTGGTGATACGGGTTGGTATGGTTGTTCTTATCACAAACGAACGATCACTCGAGAGGATTATTATGATCCCGAATTTAGTTGGGTCTACGTTTACGTGGATTGTACGTAAAAAAAAATATAGAAATATATTTAATAATTTGTTAACCCATTCGAAACAACGAATTTTTTCAAACATGGTTTTTAGAAGTCATTTCATTTTTATTTATTGTATTGTCAATTTTACAATATCAAATTTTGTTATATATTTTGTTTATATATTACATATTATATATTATATATTATATTTTTTTATTATATGTCAGTTTTACAATACTAAATGTTATTTTTCCATAATTCAAAGATATTATTTATACAAAAAAAAGTTTTACATTACTCAATATAATTCATAATAGTAAAGTATGATTGCACACACAATGTGCATGTGGTCTAGTATGGAAAGAAATAAAATAATATAAATGAAATAATTTTTTTAAATATTATTCGAATTAAATATAAATATTTTGTAGCACCTAACAGTTCGTTTGTCGAAAATGTGGTCGAAACTATAGAAGGAGTAACCGGTAATATGGTTGTGATACCATGTCGACCAACTTTGCCAAATTTGCAAGTTACTTTGTACGATCAATTGGATATGGTAAGCTTTAATTTTTGATTTTATTTATATATTCGATTAATATCAATTTTGTAAATCATCATCAACTAATAGTATTKTATATGTATAATAATAATAATTTATTAACACTTTATAATTGATTAAATGACGAAGGTTATCGATGATGAATTAAATATTTCATACGATCCTAAATTTGGATTTGAAATGTACGATCTTAGCTTGCGTAACAATGGACCTTATACATGTTCAATTACGAGAAATGATAAAACGTACAACGTCACTTATCATTTGGATGTTTTTAGTGAGTATTTAATTCAAAATTATAAACGTTGWAATTATTTAATAATTTATTTTTGTATTTTAGGTAAACCAACATTATTAATCACAAATGTGGAATCGTATTATTTGCCTGGTGAAATTTTTGATATTCATTGTAACGTAGAGGCTTATCCAGAACCAGAAATTTATTGGACTTTTCTACAATGTCCTAATTATCCTACCCTGGTTAATTCCAGTCTCATCAAATTAAATGTAATTAAATATAATTAACAATTTTAATATGATTTTCTTATTTTTAAGTGTTTAAGAAATTATTTCTTTTTTATTT